ACGGAATTGTGGAGGCTGGCAGGTCCTAAATCCGTGGGTCAGGTATCAGATTGGAGGCTTCTCATGACTCACATGGTAACAGCGGCAAACAAACCCCAAATCTGCAGGTCAGTTGGCAGGCTGCTGGTTCAAGTCCCAAGAACCAGAGGTCAGATGATGTTGATTTGAGTGCAGGATCGAGAAAGGGCAAGCTTTGTCAGAACATGCATATATATTGGATGCCGGCCACGCTTCCATGGATACTCCCCTTTCAACTGATTGGCTGCTCATATCACATCACAAAATGGAGTATGATTATATAATATTTGCCAAACCACTGAGAATCGTGGCCTAGCCTTAACTGTCACAATTTTCAACATGTTACTATTAATGTCACTATGCTCCTTTTTACCAAACTTGAAGAAGATTAAAAGGAGAAAAACAGAAGGCACACCTGCTTTTTACCGCCTTGCCATGAGGATTTACACTCATCATTTCTGCTCACATTCTATTAACTATAACTATTACATAGCTCCACCCAGATTCAAGGGGAGCACCTACCTAGGTGGAGTGATGTGAATGTCTAGCAATTAGTTATTGATTATGCTCTGGAGTGGGTATGAGAGATTGAGTCTGGAGAATAGGAAGTTGCAAATCATTGACGTGTGATTTTTCATGTATCTAGCAACTTTTAAGTACTGTAAAATATTTTTAGACACTGATGAATAAAATAGCATATTATAATAGTGTGGTGAATTTCCTTGGGGACACATGAGTATAGGACAAACACTGGCTGTTACTCCATTCTACCGATTTTCCATGAAATTGTTGTGTATTTCCAATCTCATTGATTCTGTTAAATTTTATACGTCTTAGTTAAGAGGTAGATGATTTAAGATTGTTTTATCATTCTACTATTATAGAATACTTTTAATTTATTTAACTTTTTTCAAAGTTCACCACCTTGGTTTTGTGTGTGTGTGGTGTGTGCCACTATGTAGTTCACATAGGGGATGAATGAAAGGAGAATCTCTACAAATGAAAGGAGAATCTCTATAAATGAAAGGAGAATCTCTATTCCTCCCTGCAGTTTGCTGGTCTTGGCCAAACATGAAAATAAACAAGCAAAAAACAAACTGAAAATAAAAACTTAATCCCTGCACAGGCAATTGCATATAGAATTATGGTTTCTTAAGAAGAAGAAATAACAGTGTTTACATGTAGTAGAGATGAAATTTATATTTCAGAAAAATATTTTAAGTTTTAGAAAAATAAAAAGCAGAACACATTTTCTGTGTTACATAGGCTAACATAAATTAAGTAGGGAAAAGAGACTGGGCTAAAGAAGACCTTGGTTTTAACTGAAACCTCAACAGGTACTAGCTATTTCGCTTTGAACAGCTTACTGAGCTTCAGATTGCTTGTCTGTGTAATGGGAATCATAATGGCTGCTCCCTTTCCCTGTATGATTGTTTTAAGAATAAGAAAAATAAGACACAAACACACAGCTGAGGAAAGTGGTATTTAAATGCAAGATGTTCGAGGAAAGAAAACTCCCATTCATTGGCATTTTATTTCTGTTAAATAGTGAAATAAAAGAATTTAAGATATTCAGGTAGAATTCTGTTTTAAAAGTTATCCATGATGTTTATCTTGTGTTTTTTTTTTCCTTTGGCAGTAAATTTAACTTAAGAATAAAATTAGTTGCTGATAAGAGATATCTCAGAGAATAGGGCCTTTCCAGGATATGCCTCTTCCTTTTTTTTTGTGGCTATTATGGAGTCTCTTAATATTGCTACCTAAAAATGTTATGAAGATTATTGGAATATTCATAGCAAGATGCATTTTAGGACTGGAATAATCTTTGTTTTTGGTTATTTAAGCATATATATTTGAATGATAATTCTGCCATGGTAATTATATTTAAAACTAATTCTATTTTTTGATATTTTTGTAAATTTAAAATGAAAACAAGCATTGTAATTACCTTTGAAACTCAAGGACGTTTGTTCTAGGAAATTTTAGGTTAGGCTTAAGTTGGATTACTCTACTAATAATACTGGTTAAAATGCAGGTATTTCTGGAAGGATGAAGCATTACCAGTAGTTTGAATTTATCTTAAAATAAGAAGTACATATGCATATACAGTTTTTTTTTTTTTTTTTCTTGATGGCCATTGGAAAAATTTGGAGCAGATACCATGGTTTCATATACTGATAGCCATATGTATGCGTAGGTCACATTGTCAATTTTTCATGGATGATTTATTAATTCAGTGTGAAATAACACTCGTTAATTTGGTGTTCACTGATTTATTCCAGAATCAGACTGCAGTGAATCATAATAGATTTACAAAAGGTCATAACTGGAAAGCTTCAATGTAATCTTAGAAAAAGAAGTAACTAGATAAAAATTTAAAAATAGGAATATTTCTATGGGAAAATGCAAGATAATTATTTCTGATCCCTGTTGACTTTTCCTCTGTCTTGAGGTTATTTGCTAAGAAGTAAGATGCATTTCTTGTCTTCCCAATGCCAGGTTCTCATAGAGCCTCTGAAGATCCTAAATCTTCCCCTAGAGTTTGGTCCGGTCTCAGATGGAATAGAGAATTCTGCAGCCTATCCTGAGAGTCCTTGTACAAACCAGGGGTAGTTGCTGATGAGAGATCACTCAAAGAATAGGGCCTTTCTAGGATTTGCCTGTGTCTATTTAGCTACTCTGATGGCATGTGGAAAGGTTTTATGAATTCCTTCCCTCAATCTTCTATTTTGATTCTGCATCTCCATATTCTTCCCCTTATTCTCAGCATATATGTTTGCTAGGCCAAGAAGCCCTGGTGGCATAATGGATAAGCACTCAAAAGGTTGGCAGTTCGAACCCACCCAGCAACTCTACAGGAGAAAGATCTGATACCTAACAATAACAACATTTTCTAGGCCACCAATTGTATGCTAGCCTCTCATACTGTGGTGGCTTGCATGTCACTATGATGCTGGAAGCTATGCTACTGATATTTCAAATACCAGCAAGGTCACCAAGGATTTCATTCTACTTGAATCAACAATCAATACCCATGGAAGCAGTGGTCAAAAAATCAAATAACATGTTGCCCTGGGCAAATCTGCGGCAAAAGACCTCTTCTAAAAATTTCTAAAGTTTTAAACAACAGAGATGTCACTTTAATGACTAAGGTGTGCCTGACCTGAGCCATGATCTTTTCAGTCACCTCTTTACATGTGAAAGCTGTAAAATGAAAAAAGAAAACAGAAGAAGAATTGATACATATGAGTTTTGGTATTGGTGAAGACTATCAAATTTACTATGGACTACTAGAAGAATGAACAAATCAGTATTAGAAGTATTACAAACAGAATACTCCTTAGAAGCGAAGATGGTGAGACTTCGTCTTGCTTACTTTGGACATGTCATCATAGAAGACCAATTGCTAGAAAGGGCCATCATATATGGGAAAGTAGAGATCAGTGAAAATGAGGAAAACACTCAATGACATGGATTGACACAGTAGCCTCAACAATGGACTTAGACATACCAAAGATCTTCACTATGGCACAAGACTGGGCAAGATTTCATTCTGTTATACATAAGGTTGCCATGAGTCATAGCCAGCGCAATGGCAACTAACAACAACAACATTTGCTAGGCACTGTGTTAGCCATTGGGGATACAAAGATTTAAAAACACATGGTGGTTCCTTCTTGAAGCTTATATGGTATTATGGAATAGGCACCAAAAGGTGATGTAAAATCAATATAGTAAGGGCTAATAAAGGCCTAATTAGCCCTGGTTGCACAATGGTTAAGCACTCGCTGATAACTGAAAGGTCAGCAATTTGAATCCACCAGGAGCTTTGTGGGAGAAAGACCTGGTGATCTGCTCCCATAAAGATTACAGCCTAGGAAACGCTATGAGGCAGTTCTACTCTGTCCTATAGGGTCACTATGAGTCAGAATTGACTCAATGGCACACAACAACAGTAAATGTCTACTCAAAGTGTTAAGGGGGTACAGAGGATGGGTGCCAGACACAGGATGAGGGCAGTGAAGGGATCCTAGACCTGTAGGCATAACTTGAGATGAATCCAGAAGTAGGAGACCGCCAGGCAAAGAAGATGGTAGAGGAAGGAAGGCTGCCTTGATAAAGTCACCGTGTAACAAAAGGCACAAAATGAGTAACAACTTGGAATTTACTAGGGAAGTACGGGTAGAGGCACTTCCTGATATGCAGTTTTGAATAATAAATGCTTTCTAAACAAAAAATAAAACCAAACCTGTTGCCATGGAGTGAATTCCGACTCATAGTGACCTCATGTGTTACAAAGTAGAACTGCTCCATAGGGTTTTGTTGGCTGTAATGTTTATGGAAGCAGATCACCAAGCCTTCCTTTTGCAGTGCCTCGGAGGGAGTTCCAACTGCCAACCTTTAGGTTAGCAACTGATCGCAAACTGCTTGCACCACCGAGGGACCTAGGTATTTTCTAGAAATCGTTTATTACCAAAGAGTACTCATTACTGCTTATTCATGCTGTTACTAGATTAGCTATATTTAGTTATTTAGTCATGATGTGCACAAAATAACACATATATCTATTTGGGGTTGACATAGAGGAAAGGCTAAGCTATTAGAATTATGCACACCTAGAGTCACTTCCCACCTTTGCCACCCATTCAGCAAGTGGCCAAGGGCAAGCTATTTAAACTCTCTGAGCTCTAATTTCTTTATCCCTAAAATAGGGATAAAAAGTTATGTTTTAGAGTGGCCTTGAGAATTAAATGATATAACGTTTTTAAAATACTTAGGATTGTATGAGCCCAAACCAGCCATTGAATAGATGGTAGTTGTCACTATTATATTGGTTGATATAAATATCAATTTGTATTTTTACATATTAAATAAATTGAATTTTAGAAGTCATAGAATAATGACAATGTGACTTACTGTATCTATAATTACTTGGCTGGCATATTAGGCTCTTTAGTCATGTTTTGTTCATTTTTTAATAGGCAAAACCTCAAATATTATCCAGTGTATTGGATGTGGCGCATCGATTTATAAAGGAAGTTAATCCAGATGAACCCAAAGGGGAGAATCATTCTACAAAAGGAATTAGTAAAGGTCCCCATAAATTGAAATCTCTACTTCTGCAGGGGCGCTGCTCTGAGGTAAGCTGAGGAAAATCGAGTAGACATTTTTTGTGATAGGTCATCCTAGAGACTGTCATTCATAAGCTTAACTAGAGCTATAAAGTTTTATAGATTATTTTATCACTTTTTTAATATGAATTTGTTTTTTATAAATCAAATACATCTTGACTTTAAAAATCATTTCCAGGAGATTGCTTTGATTTCACTGAACACTGATCTTTTTGATGAATGATCCTTTAACCATGTGGCTTTCTGGGCATTTCCACAATGTCTGTAATTGAATGAGTATTTTAGAGAAACATAAAACACACACACACACAAGGCAATATAACAGTTTTATATTAGTCAGGACTTCAGAGAGGTTAAAACTTTAAAACTTTGCCAAGCATTAAAGTGACAGGCAATTTCACAGTTATTTAAAACCGAATTTATACCAAATTCTGGCAGTTATTCAGATTGACTACTGACCCAATGATGCACTAGATAAGCTTTTATCAGCTTATGTTAATACTTTTATAATAGACATGTTGTATTGATTCCTCAGAAAGAAAAAAGTTCCTCAAATTTTGATCCATGTTATAATCCTTATTCTTTTAGATGTTATTCACCTTTTCGCTGCAGCTCAGAAAGAGTAACTTGGCCAAAGTCACAGCTTGTTACTGGTGACAGAGCCAGGGTTTACCTTAAGTTTGTTCATTTCCAAAAGCGCGTTTACAGAACATAAAAGAAAATATGCTCCATGTTAGGAGGTCCTCTTTCCAGCAAAAGAACTATTCTTCAATTGTCTTAGAAAGTCAGAATATTTGTGTGGATTCTACTTTCTAGTAGACCTACCGAGGGTGTTTTTTGAAGAATCATATAATCTTATAATCACATGCTCTCATAATTATTCTTTCTCCCATCATTAAGCTGAGAAGTATGAAATCTTTCATATGCATCAATTAATTTGTTCATTTGTTGAACTAACTTTTAAGGAGAACCTACTTTGTGCCAGACATTGCTCTTGGCATTGAGGAAGAAGGCAAAATCCTTGATCTCATTACATTCTGATGGGGAAAGACACAATGAACAAATGAACTTGTAGTGTAAATTCACATAGAAATAAGTTCTGAGAAGAAAAATAAAGCAGATAAAGAATTAGCGAGTAGGGGAGAAGGGAACTATTTTGTAGCATCAACAGCAAGGATCTCTCTGAGTAGGTGACATTTGAATAGAGACTAAATGAAATGAGGGGAATGGCTACATGAAGATACGGAGAAGGATAGTTCCAGGCATTGGGTATAGATATAGTGCAAGGCCCTGAGGTGGGAATGTACTTGTTGAGTTTCTAGAACTGCAAGAATCTAATTTGCTTGGAGCAGTGAGTGAAGGGGAGAATGGAAGGAGATAAAGTAAAAGGTAGGGAAGTACAAAATCATGTAGGACCTTATAGGTCCTGATAGGAACTTGAGGTTTCATAGACAGTTAAGAGTGAGGTTGAGCTGGAAGTGACATGATCAGATTCACATTTTAAAAAGCTGTTCTTTCTGTTGTGTAGAGGTTGCAAGGAGCAGGTGATTGGAAAGTACTAAGATTAGATATAAGGCTATTGCAATGTTCCAAGGAGAACTCTGGTGAAAAGTATAATGATAAACGTCAGTTCTATAGGCTCAGATTTTAATAATTTCCAAACAGACCATACACTCTGTAATTCCAGATAGAGTTTTAAAGAAAACAGTAAAGCACATAAATAAGTACAATAAAAACACTATTCTAAGTTTAAAAAAACAATGCCTAATTCATAAAGAGTAATAATATTACCTGCATTTTAAGATGCAGAAAATTCAGTCAAGCATACTTACATGCATTTTTAATTGCTTTAGGTAGAAATTACAACATCAAAAAGAGCAGAATCTACAAATCAAAAAGAAGAACTCTTGTGTGAAGGATCATTCGATGAAGAAGCTTCTGCCAAGTCCTTTCAGGAAGTTTTAAATCAGTGGAGAACTAGAAATCATGATGACAACGAGAAGCAAAACTTACCTGCAGAAAAACCAGGTGTGACTATTTTTAAAAAATGAGTGTTGTAAAATAAAGTTGAATTTTTTTATCTCTATTCTTTGTGAACATAAATGTAATACTCAAAAACATTGAGATAGCGGTTTGATATCATTCCTGCATTAGAGTACATATTGTATGACCATTGGTTGGTGATTTAATATTTATTGAATCCTGAACTGGATGTTGGGATTGTCTGAATTTGTTTCCCTTGTAAATTCAGACTGACAAATGAGTGTAGAATTAGATTCCTTCAGTTTCTCCTTTACTAGGAGGACATTTTTGTCAAGATAATTATTCCCTTTTTGATCCGAAGGAATTTTTTATATGTGTTCTGGAAAATGTTCAATTTATTAATTTAATTTTTTTCAGCATCCTGTGAAGACTTCTAATTGCTTTCCATTGAAAATAAAATTTTTTATGATAAATTTCGATCGTGTATCTTAGTTTACAAAAAAAAAAAAAAAAAAACACAAAAAACAAACACATTGCCGTCCAGTCGATTCTGACTCATAGAGACCCTATAGGACAGAGTAGAACTGCCCCATAAGGTTTCCAAGGAGTGCCTGGTGGATTTAAACTGCCGACCTTTTGGTTAGCAGCTGAGCTCTTAACCACTGCACCACCAGGGCTCCTCTTTAGTTTATAGCATCCTATTTTACTATTTTTATTTCACTTTTTTCCAGTGATAGAACTCTCATTATTCATCATTTATAACATAGTATAGTTCCTAACATCAAGGTATCACACACTATCTTTAAAATTAGAATTGAATTTGTTAATAAATAATGTTCACTCCAAATATTTTTCTTTATTTGTTCATGATACACCAATTTCATTAATATTTCCAAGACTTTATTTGTATCTTGTCTTTCTAGTTTGTATGTTTCTCAATATTGACTATTTTATGCATTTTTTACTTGTACTTTCATATTTTAATGTCTTTTTTTTTTACTTTTCTACTTTAAAAGAAATTAAGTCTTCTATAGATATACATTTTTGATTGTCCACTTTAAAAGACAGAGTATTGAAATAATACCAGTATGGATTTTAGAAATCATTAAATCAGAGAAGTCCAAAACCATTCAAAATTTTTGTTTTTTATTATGAACATAATTATATTATTATGAAAATAATATTATTTTAAAAGATTAAGCTATAACAAAAAGTTTCTAAGAAGAAAATGAAAATAGTCCAATGCTACCAACTAGAGATAATCGGTGTTAACATTATGGTATACTTTTTTTTTTTCTGTTGACATAGACACATACTGTATTTTTATGCAAACAGTGTGTGCCTTCTACATTTGTTTGCCAGCCACTCCCTCCCCGCCTGTGAGGTATGTTTGTAAGGGCTGCTATGCCAATTTTTTTTTTTTTAACACGTTGCTATTAAAAAAAAAAAAGCACACTCACGAAAATACCCTGCAGGGGAGGGAACTGTTGGCAAATATAGAAGGTGTGAGTTATTTGTGTAAAAATATTGTACATAAACACGCACACACAAAAGCCCAAATGGAGTAATCCTGTATTTGCTGTTTGCTAACTTGCTTTTCCACTTAGATTCTGTCATAGACAACTTTCCATGTAAATACACCATCATTTGTAACTGTTGCATAGTATTTTGTATGGCATAATTTATTTAACCTGACTTTTATTGATGGATATTTTGTTTCTAATTCTCGCTATTATAAATGAAGTTAGGATGGCCATCCTTAGCTACATGTACACTTATGCAATTACCTTAAAATAGGTTTTAGATGTACATGTTGAGTCAATGGTTGCGTATTTTTTTTAAATTTTGGTGAATATTGTCAACTTACATTCTAAAAAAGATTACTGTGTCAGTTATACCTCCACTCGCAGTGTGTAAGAGGGATATTTCTCCATATTTTTCCTATGTTGGAATTCTAGTCCTTTACCTTTAGCTGGCTTGATTGAAAATTAATGATTATTTTAGCAGGCTTTTCACCAGTAATTTGTGAAATAATTATTGGATATTTGTTCTTTTCTTAATATCTTTTGCTAATACTTGGGTACAAGTAATGTTTTAAATTTTAGGAATATAAAACCTTCTTCTCTTATAATGCTTTAGTTACAGTCCAGGTAAGGGTGGAGAAGTGCAGTGCCTACTGCAGGTGAAAATAGCATGCACTCAAGAGGTTGCAACATCTTGTCTATTTGTATCACATGAACTGGGAAACAAGTAGTTCTAGATTAAATAAGATTAGATCAGACTAAATTTGTCCATATAAATGTACTAACCCAGGATTTGGAATTTAATTGTGTTGGCTCCAGTACTTCAGGAGTGGCATTAACAATCTGCTAGGTTGGTTAACTGAAGCCTGGATTAGATGGTGGTTTTAGAGTCAATGAGGTTAAGATGCTGGGACTTCCTTGACGTTTTGTAAGAGAAGGAGTTTAAAGGCTCTTGGAGATGAAAATGTTGGAATTATGTACAACCTACTCAGCTATCCTTTTACCATACCGTCTAGGAGGGCCCAGAGGGCCTTCTCATTACCAAACCATTAAGAACTAGAATTTTAAAAGGTTTGACATCTTTTTCCTCTGTAGGCTGAGGATAATTGTGGATAGAGACACTTAAATGGAATTGAGTTGCCTGATTTCAAAGGAATAATGGAGGCCTGGAATAGCAGAAGCCAAGTTCTAGAAGATAATCATCAAAGATATGGTGAAAAATTTACCGAAATGAGGTGCAGGGAAGAGATTGACATCTAGAGACTGCATTACCTGGGCTCCCTTGCTCTTTGGCTTCTGGTTAGATTTGGCTAATTAGAGGCATTAGTAGGACTTTGGAGGGTGAGAAAAGAAGGAGGTAGAGGTATTTACTCTCTCCTTCCTTGCTGTGCTTAGGTTTGGCAGTAGCTGTATTTTCTACCTCTGTGTTCTTAGCACTTGCCAGGTGCCCTCGCTTCCATGGCCATTGCTGTCAGTGGCTTTTAGTCAACCTCTTCCCTGCACCTTATTTAAGCCTAGGGTTGGTCACAGCTTTCCACTATTGTTAGTCTCTGGGTGCTTCACTGTCACTCATTCCCTTAACCCTGCCACATGATTGTGTTAGTTTCTTCATTCAACCCTCTTCAAATTATCGCTTTTAATGTGCTCTTTGTTTCCTGCCAAGGCCCTGACTGATACAGATGGTCAGGAAAAGGCTCTCTTCAAAACCAAGATTTGAGTTGAGATCTAGATATATGAGTTGGAAGTTGGAGGCAGGAAATAGCAAATGCAAAGACTCTGTGATAGAACATATTGTGTCCAAGGAACTGAAGGAAGGCATGTGACTGAACCTTGAGAGCAAGGGATTATAATATAGCACAAGAGGCTAGAGTGGCAGGAGAGATGACATTTAGTGGCCTGGTAAAGAATGATGAGCCTGCAAAGAGAAAGGGCCAGTATAGGTATTATCATCAAAAACCCAAGGGAAAAGATTGTTTTTAAATACAGTGAGGTCAGTTACTGCTGCTGTGAAGTCATCAAGATAAGGACTTTTGTTGATATAATCTGTGATTTTTAGTGTTTGTTTTAGACTCATGGTATTATATGTATGTGTGTTTATACCCCTTGGTGTGTATTATGTTATGTTTGTAAATATTCTTTTCTAGTAGGTTTTATATAGACCTGTAGGTTTTACTGAATATGTCTTTTCTTATCCCATCCTCTTTCCACCTCTTTAAGAGGTTCTCACTAACCTGAATTTTGTGTTTTTTATGCCCTTAATTTCTTTTCAGCTTACTACATGAATTTATCTCTAAACATTTAATTGTGATTTTGCATGCATGTGCCCATTATATAGATGCAAGCTTACTGTAGGTATTCTTTTTTTTTTTTTTTTAAAGGAAAAAGAAAGTTTTATTCAGCATATGTTCAAAAGGAACAGGGGAAAACGGACAGGCATCCTGCTAGAGCCATGTCTGTCCAAGACCAAAGAATATTACAGAATAGGCAAGAGTGGGAAAACGGACAAGCATGTCTGCCCAAGTCCAAGGAATGTTACAGAGCTATCAGTATATATTAACATTACAAATGGGCAAAACCATTGAAAGATTTACCGTTTCACAGATTGGCTAGAAATTGTGATCCTACATTTTTTAAAAAATTTTTTCCCATACAAAAATTTATACATACTTTGTTATGTGACTCTAATTGCTCTCCCCATACTGTGACAGCACACACCTCCTTTCTACCCCTGATTCCCCAAGTCCATTCAACCAGCACCTAACCCTGTCTGTCTTCTCATCTCACCTCCGGACAGAAGCCGCCTGTTTAGTCTCTTGTATCTACCTGAACTAAGAGGCACACTCTTCACGAGTATCACTTTATGTCCCACTGTCCAGTCCAATCCATGTCTGAAGAGTTGGCCTCAGAAATTGTTTTACTTCTGGGTTGATAGAGAATCCAGGGGCCATGCTTTCTGGGGTTCCTCCAATCTCAGTCAGATCATTAAAGTCTGGTCTTCTTAATAGAATTTGAGTTCTGCACCCCACCTTTCTCCTGCTCCATCCGGGACTCTCTGTTGTGTTCCCTGTCAGGGCAATCATTGGTGGTAGCCGGGCACCATCTAGTTCTTCTGCTCTCAGGCTGATGAAGTCTCTGATTTATGTGGCCCTTTCAGTCTCTTGGGCTAATACTTTCCTTGTGTCTTTGATGTTCTTCATTCTCCTTTACTCCAGGTGGTTGGGACCAATGACCAACTGATGCATCTTAGATGGCCGCTTACAAGCTTTTAAGACCCCAGACGCCACTCACCAGAGTAGAATGCAGAACATTTTCTTAATAAGCTTCATTATGCCAATTGACCTAGATGTCCCCTGAAACCATGGTCCCCAGACCCCTACCCCTGATACTCTGTGCCTCAAAGTGTTTGACTGTATTTAGGAAACTTCTTAGCTTTGGTTTAGTCCAGTTGTGCTGACTTCCCCTGTAGTGTGTGCTGTCCTTACCTTTGCCTAAGACAATTCTTATCTACTATATAGTTAGTAA